CTTGTTGGTCAGAGTTATCCATGGTCGCAAGTTCGACAAGATCCAGCTACAGGTGGTGTTGCGGTCGAGCGTATTTCGTCTGGGGTGTTTCCCACTTTTTGAATGACACTTGGAGCCCTACTATGTAGAACACGCATGAGTTTAGTGCACGGGGTCACGTGTACGAGGCATTGTGTGACAAGCCTTCCGTACCAAACGGACCGTAACCACCATCTCACAATGATTGTAGACTTACTCTGGGTCTCCTAGGGCAGATTACTTTTCATGAGCGTCAGGAGCAAATGCGATGTCAGTTGTGAGTGGTTCAGTTGTTTTTTGAGTGGTTGAGTGAGAGTCAGTGAGTGAGTGGTTGAGTGAGTGAAATCCTAGAATACACGAGAGCCCCAGGGGACGGGCATTAATGATAACCCAACTAGGTCCAACAGGCTCTTATAGGGCTGAGGTTATCGTAGCTAATATACCTTATCATAGTCTTACAGGTGGGGCAGCCTAGTGGTTAAAGCGTTCGCTCGTCACGCCGAAGACCCGGGTTCGATTCCTCATGTCCGATTTCCTATGTCCCCAGCCGCGATGTTGCTGGAATATTGCTAAAAACGGCGTAAAACTAACCCACTCGCTAACATAGTGTAACAAAAGGCGCAGCTCTCTGAAAGCTATGTATAATAGGGTCCTGGACAATGAATTCCTTCCAAAGATGTTAACCAGCTTTACGAGCGCGAATGATGCTGCGTTATACGTATAGTATGACCAGAAATTATTGAGAATTTGAGGAATATGTTTAATTGGATTTCTAGTATAAACAACCTTGACCGGCTATCAAGTGCTTGGTTTCATTCAAGAGAAACAGCTCTGTTAATCCTTTTTCATTAATTTGTGAAGAGTTATCCCCTTTTGTTTACTTGCTAGCACACGACATTTTCAGTGATCCTCAGTATAGATGATTTAGAGAAGAGGAAGTTGATTTTAGAGCATTATAACAAGGACATCAGATCAGCTAAAGTTATTTCAAGTAGAACAGGCATCCATTTGTCCACTGTTTATCGTGTTTTGAAAAATATTGCAAATGGATATGGCACTGAGCACCAGGGAGGCGCAGGTAGGCCCAGAAAATTGACTGTCGGTGACAGGAGGCGGCTTGGTATTCTTTTTTCTAAAAACAAACGAAGGAGTTTACAAAACTTAAGGCTGGATATGATTGATAGAGGAACTGTGGCTGTCTGTAAAGGGACAATTAGAACTGAGCTGCATGCAATGGGTTGGCAGAAAAGTCGAGGAATTCCATCACCGATCATGAAACCTGAACAAAAGGAGCGAAGGTTAAACTGGTGCTTATAGCATAGACATTTTAACTGGGACAATGTGATTTTCTCAGATGAAAGTTCTGTGTGACTGTTTCCTAATACACTGAAATTCTGGACCAAACAAACTGAAAAACTTTTGTATCAACGCCCAAAATACAGTTCGAAATTTAACGTGTGGGGTGGCATATCTGTGTTAGGGGCAACGCCCCTCTGTGTATTTGAAGGGAATATGAACAGTGAGCGGTACACAGATGTTCTGGAGGGACATTTACTTCCATCTGCTCACGTGTTCTATGGAAATTTTTGGATTTTCCAGCAGGACAACGACCCAAAACATCGTTCAAAGCATTCACAGGCCTGGTTTCGGACCCAAAATATGACATTATTAGATTGGCCAAGCTATAGCCCTGACCTATATCCAATAGAAAATGTTTGGGGACTTATGAAGGAAAGTGTCAATAAGAAAAATCTGACAAATATTGCTGAAATGAAAGAAGAGGTAGTCCGGTATTGGGACAGCATGAACCACGACTTTCTAACTTCTTTGATCAGTAGTATGCCCCGCCGCTTTGAAGCCTGCATTGCTGCCCATGGTGACTTGACAAAATACTAACTGTTCACTTGTCTTTGAATCTGGAGTTATGTTCACATTTAATACATGAGTAATGAGTGAAAAAAAAAAAATTCTCAATAATTTCTGGTTGTACTGTATGTATGTGCATATATACATCCACGGAGCTATAGGAAAACCTCATCATCCCGGACTTCGTTATTCCCCACTGCTATTTAGAACATATCTGAGGTTGAAGAGATCATATGTCTTTTTTATTTCCTACCAATTGGTAATGTGGGATTGTGTGTTCTAACTGTCTTTCTTTCGCTAATTAACCTATTGGGGCTCCCTAATTAACCTTTATTGGTTGACGCTGAAGCTGCACAAGATGTGTATTTTAATAATGATCTCCATCATCATTATCATCATGTCTTCATGGGCGGATCCAGGAATTTTGGAAGGAGGGGGTTCAGGGGGTTTGAACCCCCTTAACCCCCCATTGACACCGCCAACGCAAAGGAAATCTTCAATGTGATCTTACGTCATTTTCGTGTGTGTGTGTGTGTGTGTGTGTGTGTGTGTGTGTGTGTGTGTGTGTGTGTGTGTGTGTGTGTGTGTGTGTGTGTGTGTGTGTGTGTGTGTGTGTGTGTGTGTGTGTGTGTGTGTGTGTGTGTTTGTGTGTTTGTTTGTTTGTGTCCGAACCCCCTGAACCCCCGCTTTGGATCCGCCACTGGTCTTCATAGAAATATCTGTTACGATAAAAAAATTCTCCATAACAATAACGTGCTTGTCTGCTCACAAATGAAGCATGTTCTTGAAAAATATTCCGACAAAGAGTTACACATGCCTCACTTTACTGTAAAATGTCACAAAACGTATTCCTGAAAATGCGCCATGAAAGTGAGTCCTCTAAGCCTCCATGCCGTATAAACGGCATACGTTTTACAGGATTGCTCTACGCCGAAGTGTTCGAGACGACTGTGCCCGGACTGTATAAATTAACCTAAACCTCACAAATATATTTACATATGATTTATAGAATTACATCTTCCCAACGCCTTATTGCGTGACTTTTCATTCCTAAACACACTTATCCGTTAAAGTGAAGCTCCTATAATGTGTTTGATTAAACCCAATTTTGTTTGTAAGTGTTTTGTACGATATCGCCCTGGCTGCTTAATGTAACTTAACAACACAGATTTAACCTGAATTTTGTTTAAATCCATGAAATATCTTCCTACATACCAATGTATAAAGTCTCTCAAAGAGTAGTAATTTACGCAAATCCATCTTTCAAATACTATGAAAATAATATTTTATTTAGTGTTCGGAATGACTTGGCACGAGCTGCCAAAAGCAACGTAAACGTCATAGGAGTTGTGTTTTAATCTAATATCTATCTACAGAAATACCACTTTGTAACGTCAAAAAACATCAAAGAGGTAAGTACAGTTACGCTAAAGTGAAACTCTTTTCCCTCTTCATTCCCAACATAGCCTCAATCAAAAGTGGGTCGATGGGGATACTATTATTTCCCAAGGGACCTATTGTAACCCGGAATACAGTTACATGTAAGGCTATTGCCTGGGGCAAGACTTAAAGTGCTGTGTATCATTGACCTGAAGAGTGTTTAGCCGGAGGCATGAAATATACGATAATTGGCTGGTGGCATTTGATGGCTATGTAACTTTGGAGAAGGTTTCTCATGTAGCTCCACGATGTTGAGATTACAGCGAAAGGACCCTTTCCCGAACCCCGGTAATCCAAGATTTCTGAACGATTACTTTTGATAACAATACTTTCTACATGACATAAAATCATTACGGCCAAGTAGCCAAGATTCGTTTATTTCACTTGAACGAACCAGTGAAGATCCGGGTTAGAACTGGGGCTCCTTTCCCGAAGCAACCTTTACTAAGGTTAACCTTACCTCCCATTCGTCAACATTGCATTAAGGTTACCTTAGTGACTTACGATAACCTTAGTGCTTTGTAAAAGGAGGCCCAGGGCCTAGATTTTCGAAGCTCTCTTAGCGCTAAGATAGTCGTAAGTTAATGTTAATGTATGGCACTTGCGACTATCTTAGCGCTAAGAGAGCTTCGAAAATCTAGGCCCTGGTCTTCAGCAACCCATGCTTGTCGTAAGAGGCAACTAACGGGATCGAGTGATCAGGCTCGCTGACTTGGTTGACACATGTCATCGGTTCCCAATTGCGTAGATCGATGCTCATGTTGTTGATCACTGGATTGTCTGGTCCAGAATCGATTATTTACACGATTCCGTCTGAGATAACGATGTTTGTTGTACAAATTATTAACTCATTGCCCAATTGCTGTGTACAGGGCACCTTCCGCCATATTGGTAAGGTGCTCGAGCCACTTCCTTAGTAACGGTCTTTAAGTCTATTAGTCGCCATTTTCAGCCGTCTCGCGCAATTGGTACTTTTGTAGGTCTTCCCTCTCACGGGTCATTGTAACAAATGCCTTCGTGAGCAAATGCCACGAATTTACGTCAAGGCTTATTACAATTTGCTGCAAAAATTACAATTTACGTCGTCACAGCCAGTTTCACTCACAAGAGTACGTGTTGCGTGTTTATTTCAATCTGGCCATGATACATATAACTGACGAGGGTACCTCACGCCATGGCTGAACTTAACAGAATAGAAACTATTCAGTATTTTGGCCATATAACCTAAAGTACCATTGTAATAGAAATAGTTGTTTTTTAACAATTCACATGACAGTCCGACTTTTACAATTGACGCAAAGCAAACACATGTTTCAAGTAAACAGCCAAATTTGATATCGCATTAATATTTTAGTATTAGAAGACTAACCACATTTACATTAGCACTAAAGTATTTTAGGCGTATGGATTTATATTTTTCACAAATGTAACACATGAGATTCGTTTTCATCTAATTTAAACTGAGAATTTCGAGATAAACGTACAGGAATGTAGTGTCACACACACATATCACACACTCTCTCTCTCTCACACACACACACACACAGTTTTGAAAGAGCCTTCACTGCTTGCCCGTAGAGCAAGGATCCACTTCAAGACATTGTGTCTCGCCTATAGATGTCAGCACCTATCTCCAACACATCTCACATCTTTGATCACAATGCCTCCTGAAACCTCCACATCTCCGGTTGTTCTTTTTCTGACTGTTTTGTACAGTTTATCTGCACAAAGTGTGTGACTTTCATATATGCTTTGGAGCATGCACATGGTCATATATATATATATATATATATATATATATATATATATATACATATATTTGACATCAATCATCATAAAGACAATTC